AAAACTGCAAAAATATATTTTAGAGGAATGGTTATTATAATGAAATTCAATATGTTAAGAAAAAAAAATGAAAAAGAAGAAATCTAAGGGAAATGTGCGTGTGCAACCTCCTCTTATACCAAAGTCAACGTATCCGCATTATTTTTTTTGTACATTTTAGCATTTATACTCATATTCGACACCATTGACAGTTTTATTAAATTTTGATCGATTTATGCGGTTTATAAAATACGATCGAATCAAATGAAATATTTTTGCTGTTCTTGTTGTTAAAACTCTCGAATTTCAATTGAAGAAAACAATTTTCATTCTGCAAACGAATTCAATCGAAAATTTTTCAACATTAATTGAACATATTTTTTTATCCAACAACTTTGGTGTTCGCAAAGATTTTAATCGAATGAAAGAAAAACGAAAACAAAATAAAATCGAAAATACACCCACTGACCAATTGAACTGTTGCCTTAGTAAAAATAAAAAAGGAAAAAAGAAACCAAAAAACCAAAAAATTATCGTGCGCACAGTTACATGAATGTTGCGTGTTTCAAGCAGAAACATTGCAGAAGAAGCCACAACGGCTATAGCACAATAGCAATCAAAAAAACTATTCACGAAAACTGCGAAATCTATGCTTATTGAGTTCTTGCTAAAGGATTGCGTGTTGTTATGGGGGTGGTGCTAAAAGGTTGGAAGGTGTTGTAATATGCTTTTTACTTTTTTTGTAAAAGTAACAAGTGAGTCTGCGTGCGCGCACATAAGTGTATGTATGTTAATTATTGACCGATTATTGTAAGAAGGCGTTCAAGCTAATACGTATATATGTACACGTATATATATTTTTATATTTACACATATATTTATACGTATGTCTACGTACATATATTTATGCGTATATATACGTATACACACACCTATATATATATATATATATATATATATATACATACAAACATACACACACACACACACACACACACATACACTAGCATATATTCAATGTCGGGTTGGAGAATCAAAAGATATATGATCGCTTTCTTGCCACAAGGAAAAGGCTGACCGGAACTATGGTGTCATGCCTTGTTGTGTAGTTAGTTGGTTAGCCAGTGGGTTGAAATGCTTGGTTGTTAATAAAATTATGTTTGCTGCTTGTTTAACAAAATCGATACAAAATTTATATGCACTTAACATGCACTGCTCTTAATTGCACTATCGTTATATTCACCACCACCGGTACAAGCTTAAGGTAAACTAATATCTTCGTTCGATTGGCAAAAAACAAAAAACACACTTCAGATGCCGCAGAATAAAAGGACTCAGTCAATTTCAAATTTTAAGTTTTTTCTCTTCTAATTTCGTCCATTCGTTCAGCTCTTTGTTTTTGCAATTTTTATGCTCAAAACATTGAAGTAACAAATCAATCGATTTATGTTCTTAGCATGTGAATTCGCGAATTGGCGGTAAGCTCGAATAGGAAAAAAATGTCCAGATCAAACCCAAAGTAAAGTTGGTAATCTATAGTAAGTATCGATAGGAGATTTGATAAAAGAATATTTACCAAAATTATAATATTTGGAAAACGGTATTCATCGGCATGTTCTTCATTGTACGTGCAACTACATTTGTAAACGTAATTCTCTTTCTTTGATCTAAATTACATGAAATGAACCCACGCCCTTACTTTCCCTACAGATTAGAGGTTTTGTCAAATATACGTGATTGGTGTCAATAGATTTGTTTTTAAATGATTTAATTTCTTTTGCTTTCTTAGGTAATTTTTGAAAAAAGAAATAATTTATATTTTATTTAAATGTAAATAATTTTCAAAGTTGAAATACAATTAGCTAAAATTGCCCATTTTTCACTCTGTCACTGGTTCTATACATTATGGGTTCCACCTAAAATTAGATGCGTTAAATATTATTTCACCGTGCGATGTACAAGCAATGTCGTATAAGGAACGATTTGAGAAGAACATTGTCGGGCAGTGTTAACGGTGATTTACAAAAATCTTATTTGAAATTGCAAATTTTGTACGGAACTCGAAATATCCATTGGCGAATCTCTAATGCAGCCTAATAGCCACAACACACATTACGGCAATTGATAGTGGCTGATGAATTTGTGGCAAGGGTTTAACGTGGGTTCCTGCCTGTACGGCTTAACCCCACGGTGGCCCAAACCACTTTTTAAGCGTACTACGCCCCCTGGCGAGTTAGACAATCCCCACAGAGTAGGGGCCTAAACAGCACCAGAGTCCAGAATAGTTTATTGTGTATGGAACAATAAACCCCACTCTGGTGAATGGCGAGGCCTAGCTGCACTCAATTGTTCCATTTTAGCTAGGAACTCGCCAACCACAACCACCACGAGTACTCCCCGAAGGGCCGCACCCAGTAGTCAGGACTCACCAATTGATCAACTGACTGCTTCCGCCATAAGGCTTCCACTGTGCTTGTTGATCAATTACCACCTTTACCCGCAGGCATCCATGACATGTGTTCAAAAGTAAAAATAGGTAAAAGGGGAGAACTTATTCGTCATATCCCTTTTCCATTTCTGCATGTATTAATTAATTTACCAGACATTTTCTTTCATTCGGCCAAAGGGAAAGCCGTCCGTCAATTCCTTTTTGCATGTATTAATTAATTTACCAGACATTTTCTTTTATTCGGCCAAAGGGAAAGCCGTCCGTCAATTCCTTTTTGCATAAATAGTGTAATTAATTTATTTATTTGTTACGACTTAAGAACAAGTCCATCATATACCCGCAGGCATACGTGGCTTAGTGAGCGAGCTTCCTGACCCTCGTGGCTCCCAGTTTATTTTGCAAAGCCTTATGGCATACTTTGGGCGTTTGTTAAAAAAACAACCGTACTTGCTTCGGATCCTCCATACTTTCCTGGTAGCTAACACCAATGAACTACTTTTCTTCAAGATATATAGGTCTCGGGTATTGCACTGGACATGGCAGACAATCCAATGCACTCTACCATGCACTCGCTAGATTACTACCTTCATTGTACTTCAAACCATTCAGTATATTTCCTCGGTAGTAACTAGCTTATTGAGTAAGAGCTCTTCTTCCAGCCAACCCCTCCACCATCTATCAGAAACTCGTCGCCGAGTTAGCAGCCCAAAACCTTAAACTCTTCTTAGCCGTCCCGGGGATCACCGCTGGGAGGTGAGAGTTTCGACACATCTATGCTTCTTATCAAAGCATAGTTCATCTCCCCAGTGGCTGATGAAGTATGAAGAAGACGTCGTCATTGAGACGAGCATAGTATCTGATAATTAGGGCGATTGTAGCCAAAAGCAGGGCACATTAGTGATCGCACACTCCAGCTGGTAAATTAATCTCAGACTTCCTCTGTCAACACTTAAGCAAGAGATAGTTATTAATAAGAAACGGTTAAAACTTGCTAGCAGGGAGAGTATAATTTATAAGATTTGTTCAAAAGCGAGCAGAGCTTTATAAAGCTGTCACGTTCTACGCCATCTGTTATTGCCTATTTGAGTTGCCGAAATAGATCTGTCAGTTGTACCTTACCAGACGTGGCCAGCTTATCGCAAAAATGCAAAAGTCGAGTTATGTAGGTTTTTGATCAAATTTAACTGCATCTAGAATGTACTAAAAAGAATGTGCTAAAAAGCTTAATAATCGAAATATGCAGCGTCATTATTTAAGATCTTTTGCCATTTATCAGGTAACATATGGATGCCGTCGCGGTAGAAACATTATGGCTCCGAAGTGAAATAGTCATAGACCGATTTTTTATCTTCAACTTTGCAGAGTTGCTGATTTATTAAATACGTTTGCATCGATTTGAGGATCGACATGGAGGAAACATGTCTGGAGAAAGTGGCGGGTGCGATAAAACTTTGGAGCTTAAACTGAAAATCACTTCCTAGGTTACGTTTGCTAACCACAGATGAACTTGAGCGAATTTTCATCGTTTTCAAGGCTTTCAAAATTTATTGCCAAAATCTTGCAAACCACTTTCGTTTCGTAGCTTTCTGCATTTTCATTCCAAGCTAATTTAATCATTTCTGATGCTGTCCTTCCGAATTAACTCAGTTAAAAACACAGCATAATGCCTTATTTCATTTTGGGAGCCCCAGGTAGTTCAATTTCTGATTTTGATATCGTAATTTGTGAAAGAGTTCTATCCGAAGTACCTACAATGGGACTTTCGTAATTTGTTGGTAAATATAAGAAGAAATCATATTATGAAATCATATTCGAAATTTAAATTCATTTCGTGTTAAAAAAATTTTCTATTTAAAAAAAAGAGAAAAAGTTATTTTAATTTTTATTTAAAATTTCAACAGATGCTGTTTGTTGAATTACCCCCTATATAAGTATCCATCAACAGACAAAAAACTCCTGACCACAATATGTTCCGACCGAAATGTAAATTTCATTTCTTGTTTACTATACTCGTTTCGGGTTTACCATTGCAGACATGAGGGGCGCAGTAGGAGAGGTAAGGAGGTCATTTGTGTTTCATTGCTAAAGATTTTTTTTTGACTCCCTAACTTACAATGTATGCAATATCCTCAGCTAAATGTTGTTGTTGTGCCGTAAAAATATTTTACTCTTTCGCTGTGTGCTCTTTTGCCATGTAATATATAACATCATGTTTGGCATTTATGGTATGGTATGCCCATCAGTAAATAAACCATAAAAACCACACCTGCTAACCCAGCAACCTATCGTCTTCTTTAAGCTGTTGTGAATAATAACTTTATTAGAATTTCGTAGATTTTCTTTATCTATAAACAGAACAGTTAGCGTGTATAAGGTTAGGAAGTTCATATCATACGTAAATTGCTAATCAAAGGACTAAATATGGGCATGCTTAGGAGAAGTTCCGTATATTGTCAGTTAAGTGTTTGCTGTTTAAATCCTTCAACGCGCGGTATGTCAATTATTAATAACATAATTTATTTTCTAATATATAATTTTTTTTAAAAGTATGATGTTTTATGATATTAATTACTTTAATGGTTTCATATCTAGGTGTACGCCACCTTCTAGACCAGTCATGAAGCCGTGCGTCTCACGATAATTATCGTTACGCGTACGCTCATTAACTGTCAATTCAAAGTGTTTAATTATCTCCACAATGGCAGTTTTGATTTCAGCTAAAACAAAATTTATACCTGAAATGAAAAGCAGAGTTTTCCTTGTTTACCTCAATTTTCTGTTTTTGTATAAGTTAAGCTACCTATACATATCCTTGGACCATCGCCAAATGGTAAAAAGACACCCATATCTTTATATTTTTTTGTACCACCATTCGCTTCATCGAAACGTTCAGGCATAAAGGTATCTGGTTGGGGGAAGTACTCCTCGTCGCTTTGAAATGATTGCATGGAAATAAAGCAAACGTCGCCCGGCTTTAAAGAAACCAACACACCGTCATTATTTTGAAATTCACAGGCTTCCGTGCAGATTTTCGATAGAAATGGCAAAGGAGCATATAAGCGCAACGTTTCTATAGCAAATACGAGAAAAGACATTTAATTGAATATTTTTTGATACTTAGCAGTGCTTTTGTTTTATGGCTTTAATGCCATACGAGATGCGAGATATTCTGAGTTAAGGACTGATATAAAACTCATTTCTGGTTCGTAAACCGCAAAGATAGTTTTCTCTATCATTGATTTGTGATTTAATATTTCATTTAACAAAAAAAAAAAAAAAAAAAAAATTGACCTACGGTATAACTAGTCTTCAATATTTTCTCCAATTCACTGATTATATCAGAAACATTGCTTTCAATTTCAAATTATCTTCAACATCGCAGAATGATATGGAGTCTGAAAATGAAGATCTGTTTATTCTTGCATAAGTATGATAGTTATTAAAATAGATATATTAAGAGGACATCAAGAAAAAAGAAGAAAACGGCTCTAGAAGTAAAATATTTAAAAGATAATTTATACGATCGCTAGGCTATATATGTTTTTGAACCGTCTCATTAAAAGTGAAAAGCAAACACTTCTTAACCTGCAGACGCAAATAAACTAATTTCAAATAAACTAAATAAAACTAATTCAAAGGTAAAATAAATTAATTTCAAAGGTTTGAATTCTACAATCTTTACAGTTGATGGGTCTTATAAAAGACAATTTTTAGTTTCAGTTGCATTAGCTAAAGAACGTTATTTTCATCTAATGAGTTTGTTCAGATCGTTTGCGTATATAAAAATATTTGCTAGAGTCCCTTATTAACACTTTTGCTATACTCTTTTTAAATAATTATACTCACATCCAAAGTAAATATTGGTTAAGAACGAAGGACTTGGGACTGTTATATTTTTGCGTAATAATATAATAGAGCTGTTGCAAACTCGCGTTGCGTTTGTGCAAAGAAAAAGAAAAATGTAAGACTTACCGGCTATACACTGGTCCAAATATGGCATTGTCATCATATCATCATATTTCAATTCACCTGTTGTTGGATCAATATATTCTTGAATTTCACGTCGTAGTTTTCTTTGTGTGTAAGGATAACGAGCGAGCTGCAATTTTTGATGACATTTAAAAAAAAAAAAAAATAATAATATTATCGTAAGCAATCATCTCCTACCAGTAATAAACAATGACAGATTGATATGGCCGCTGTTTCGAAGCCATCGTAATGTACTGTCAACTGATGAGCAACAATCTCATCGTTAGTGAGTTGCTTTTTATGTTTCAAGTCTAGCAGATATTGAAGGAAATCCTGAGATTTGTTCTGAGTTTCCATACTATTACGCATTTTTATGGCCTTCTCGGTTAGTTTCATAAAATAACGATCTGTTACTTCAGGGAAAAACCGTTCCTCGTAGATGTACTTTATAAAGGGAAAGATGCCACTAACGAAGAAGAAACGGAAGCCGAGTAATGTCTGATACACCATTCTTTTAGACATTTCAATAAAGATGGATTTTTTCTTGTTGCTAGTCGTTGATTGAAAACTTCCAGATTCTATACCCCAACCTATTCCGGCCACTATTTCAACAGTGAATCTTAGGGAAATATCTTTCCCATCGAAGGTTTGACAACCATTTACGTATTCGTCGTTTAAATGTGTTACAAGTTTTTTAGCGCTGGCGCTCATAATAGGATGCATAGCTTTTATCTTAAAGGAAAATGAGAGAAGTGCTTTAAAATCAAACCAATTTCATCTTAAAAGAATAAATCATTTACCCTGTTATATGATAGGCCCGGTACAATTTCAGCCCGTTTTACTTTCCATATATGAAATGAAGTATTAAATGGATTTAAACCCGCCATTTTGTCTTTTTTAGCATTTACCTTTTTGATATACACAAAATTTTGTTTAGCTTCGAGCCATTATTAATAATACACCTGCTTGTTATACCCACCACTTAATCCCCTATACTAACTTTTCCAATTTATAAAACAGGTTCAAAATACGAATAACAATTTGATTAGCTTGCCACTATTAATGGAGTTTTCGCTCTCTCTCTGTGCATTCGTTTCTTTACGGGTCGAGATATTAGTTTATTATTTTCTTCAGTGTAGGGCAATGTTTTGGACAGATTGCTTTGGGATGATAGTTCAGATTCCTCGAAGAAGTTAATAATGACGGCGAATCATGAAAATTGTTGACACAATTTCAAGCTTTTTTGATCACATCGTCCCCCTTTGTGACATCTCTAAACAGAAAACAAATTTTATTTACCAATGCAGATTGATGAAATAATCGATTTGGTTGTTGGAAAAGCGAGAGCTTTTACGGATTGAACTTCACGGATTGAGTTTCAATGGATGTATCTTTAGCAAAGCACTGCGTTATTTTAAAAATTAGAACAACCTATGTGGTGGGTAAAACAATATCTAAACCAAATCGGGCTGAAGCCCATCACTGGCACATATTACCCACTGAGTTGACAGATTTATTTGAAAATGTTTGAATTTATTTATTAAGATCTCTTTGCATAATTCCGGATCCAACACGAACAGATACGGCTTCCGGGTCATAAAAACTCCAACAAATTTTGTTTTTCCTTTAAAATTTCTGTAAAAATATTTTCCCGATTTATTAGCTGTTAGTTTTGAAAGTGCTATAGGTGCACTTAAAAAAAGATGAAATGAGCTGAGGTAAACTGTAATGAGTTATAAACAAGCAGCTTGTCTCAATATTTATAATCGTACGTGTCAATGGATGTTATAAAATGCTATAGCCAAAATTCTTCTTTTTTTTTTTTCTTTGAAAGTAGAATAACTCTACGCGGAGCTAAAAAAATGGTTTTTATATCCATCACAAAAAGATATGGAGTAGGTTCATTTGCCAAAACTTTGCAACACCAAGAAAGAAGCTTCAGAGATCCCATAAAATGTATATATGCTTGAGCGGCATCAAGATTTAAACCGATTTGAACATGTCCGTCTGTCTGTCCGCCTTTGTTATGACTGTAACAAACATTCTTTTGAACGCAAAAATGAAGATATCGACCTTTTGTCATTTTTTACTTATTACTCAGATATTAAAGTCAACAATACGGAATGCTGAAAACGATTCTGTATATTCTGCACAAGAAGATATATTATCAGATTAATGTTTAATTTGGAGGATTCGTTGTTCCTGAGTAGTGTAATTGATTAGGTGTCAAATAGAAACGCTTAGAGAATAGAATGCGACAATGTCAGTGCTTTAATTCTAAATTAAATATCGAAGATATCGTGCCGTGTTTGATTAACGTTACATAAATATATATAGATATATATATATATTCGAAATCCGTTTATTTCATACCCATATCGATAGATCAGATTGCAAAGATAACGTTCATCAAATCAATCTATAAATATATATACATAAACAGAAGATAGGTTTTTGAAGACACGATGGATATTTCCACTTTCATTCTACAACATAATAAAAAAAAAAAAAGAAGAAGATCAGCCATACCGAGCAAAGTATGAAAATTTACTTTTTTCGTTGTTTTTTTGGTCTTTTTTAGAATAATTCCGATAGATATGAAAGACTCGGTAGCGGACGAACATAATTTTTCGACTTTTTGTTTTTATAAACAATTTTAATAAGTATCATTTGATAATAAAATTTGAAAACTTAAAAGACATACAGCGTTACACATATCAGATTAAGTTTTCGTAAATTAATTCAAATACAAGTTCTTAAGTATCTCGACACATGAAAAAATGAATTTATACCACTCTCAAAAACAACAACTCATTTGTTGTTATAAGTACGTTAATCAAATGTGTTTATTACCTGTAAATTTCATCCACATCATAAAAAAAATTTCGTTTACCAGTAATTGTGGAAGGAAATGTTCCAAACAAAGGTTTCGGCTTTGGTCCCGGCACATTTCGCTCCCTCCAATAATGAAAGTTCCAAGTTAAATAAACGTAGAAGGTTATTATTAAAATAATTATAGCACTTAAAAATGACACGATTATAAACATTTTTGTTTTTTATTTTTAATTGACTTTTATGTGTCCACCGTTCTGATGTCGATTCACATATGAACACAATCTGATAACTATAAGAACTTTAATAGTCAATCCGCGGTTTGATTTAGATATCAAATACCTGGAACTTGGGGAAATTATGTTAATTAAAATTTAATCTCATTGAATATAATTAACATAGAGGTTTTTCCAAAGAAATAATTAGTATTTAATCTGTAAAATGTAGCCTGTACGTAAAAGTGACCTAATCATAGCCCCCGTCGAACGATAGCGGTAAACACGGCTTACCATTCCAGTTCTGACAACCACCAATAAATAACAGGCGCCCCTTTGAAGTATTTTGTTTCGCAATAATGCAAAATAAAAAATATTATATTTGATAGCAATTAATTAAGCTGAACATATGAATACATTATAGTCGTGCAAGCCTGACTGTGGAGTACCCGTGATAAAATACTAATAATGAGATATTGTTTTCGTGTAAAGCAACACTTTCCATTACGGACTTTATATGAGAGAGAGCTTAAAACGTGAGCTAACATAGTCCATATTTTAGCGAATTTAATTTTCTTATTTTAGTTCTTTATTCATTTTCTTAATAAGATGCTAAAGATTAAATTTGTTTCGCAATACAAAGATTTATTTTTCATGAGAATCCTTATATGGAAGAGGGTCCAAAATACCGACTTACGTATTTCAAATCTCATACAATCAATTTCTATACAGAATCTATCTTTCATCATAAAAAATTTAAAAAATTATAATTTTTTGCCATATATATAAATATTATTGTTTATCGATTTTCGTTGAGAAATTCTTAAAAATTGCAAATTTTTTTTCATTGATGGCATGTTTTTTTTTTTTTTTTTTTTAGAAAAGAGCGTGCCTTGAATTTCGTTAAAATATTTCAAAAAATCCGATTTGTAGGTTGAACACAATACTATATGGATTAATATTAGGCACACAAACAGATTTACGCACAGACGGTTAGATGGACAAACAAGTTTAAATTGATGCAGAAAACGCGTCTTAATTGTTTGGTATAACAAAGGATGGAAATTACATACTTCGCATATAGTTAATGCACTCTCTATCGCAGAGGATGTAGGCTGTGAAAATGGTTTTAAAGTGAAGAAAACAAATTTTTTTCGTAAGCCCCTATAACAAATGAGCCAAGAATATTTATTAGTCGTATTATTTTTAACTATTCCGTTATTATAGTATTTTTATTTTAGTATTTTAATTATTATATCTCAGCATTGAAATTATTATGTGACCGCATGAGCTGATGGGTATTCAAAATTCACGTCAAAGTGAATGTAAGTTTCTGTCTGGTTATTTATCTATAATAAAAAACTTATTTAAATGAACCTCTTTAGTGGTTGTGTGTATAATTATAAAATAATATAAACAACAATATAAACGTCGCCACGTGACCTTAATTCATTTTTATGATAAATAACAAATACTAGATAAGGTAATAAATAGTAATAAAAATGAATAGGTTAGAGCCAGTTTTGGAATGTGGATTTTATTATAGTCACTATTCAAAAGCGAACCAATAACTGCTGTACATGTCGTCGGCAATCATATTACTGGGCTAAATTGTTACACAAAAGTATAATATGAATGTATTTATATATCATGAGTAATGGCAGAACCTGTGTAACATTTATGTGTGCTAAATAACCGGCTGCCGTGTTTTGCGATGAGATTTTATATAAATTTTAATAAAAGTTACTGTCTTTCACTTGTTAAAGTTGAAAATGTTCTCAGCTTTTGGTTATGGGTGATAAGAACATTTTCTTTTTCAGCATCTCTGACACTGGCCTGAAAAATATTAACATAATGAAGGAGATAACAAATAATGCAATTAATATTAATATGGGAAAGTCCTTGAGTTGAAAAGATACATATAATTTATTAGTTGTAGTTCGATTATACTTCACATCAGGAGGATGATTTCGACTTGAATTTCTAAACTGTTCCGCGTTCTTTACATAATGTTTCTAGTCAAACTATGAACCAAAAATGAAGAATTAAATGAATGCAAAATCAGTTCCCTTGAAGTACACTATTACCATACAAGTAACATTAGCAGCTGATAAACAAAAAAAGGGAGAAAACAAAAAACGTTAACCAATAATGGGTAAGAAAATTATGTTTGGTTGCGACCGAATTTTTTATACCCATCACTGGTAATCTAAAAGAGATTGAAAATAAGAAAAAACATAAACTTGCATATTCTTTAATATTGGAGTGTCGTGATTGACTTTTATACCCATCATCCAAGGAAGCAATGCCCAGAAGTAAGCTTCTGAAATCCCACAAGCTTGACCAGCATTAAACTCTGAACGGATTTAAGCAGGACCATGCATCTGCTCGTCTGCGTAATGTCTGTTCTAAATATTTCTTTGGTCACAAAAATGAAACTATCAACTTCAAATTTGGCAGAAACATTGGAAGTTCTTGCGCGCAAGCTGATGGTCAAAATGAGCGAAATTGGTCAAAGGTTTCGCTTACAGTACTACGTAAAGTGAGAGAACTTCTGCTTTCTTAAACGAACTATATCGGATAAATATACAAAAATTGGATAGCATATTCTATGGGCAACGCATCCGTCAAAAATAAAAAAAAAATTGACCACGCCTGCCCAATATTGTAGCGTATCAAAAATTAATTTTTTTTCAATACCTTTACGATGCGAAGAAACAAGCTTCAACACAACATAAGTTATATAAATTCTTCATCAATTTCAAATTTTGGAATGCATCTAAACATAACGCTCTCTTCGTCTCTTTGTCTATCTGCGTAGTATTTCTGGTAAACATTCTCCCGTTAGCGAAAATGAAAATGTCGCCTACAAATCTGCAAAAGAATTTGAAATTAACTTAAATTTTTCGAAGGACATGCCTATAGCACCCACCTGCCTGCGACAAAAACTCTTATTTTGAAAATAGAAAAAAAGGCGCGCCCACTTCTTACTACAGACCATGAAAATATAGTTCTTTTATTTATTTTTGTTTTCTTTTGCCTTTTTTACGACATTGGCGATGGGTATAGAAGGTTCGTTCCAAATGCGGGCGTTGCAGTCAGATCTGAACGAGATCGCTACTTAGCGATTATGTTAAAATTTTCATTTTAAATTCTTGACGCCATAGATTAAGCATTTATTCATATTGAAAGCTAAATCACTTTTAGGATTCGTAAAGAGGTGATCTAGGGAGTTTGTCGACCTTTATATCACTAAACGATTGTATACGACTTCGGTTATGTCTACGTTAGATTACAGTTCGGTTACAGTTCGGTTGGATACATAGCTGTAAATGTCATGTTGGTGCGGCGGAATCAGTACAAAAATTTTTTTCAAATTTTTGCAATGCGTAATTTAGAGCGGAAGTCTTGTCGTACCCTCTTTCCATGTGAACAAAAAATGAATCAATTTTCTAATGTTAGAAAAAAGCCATGAATGTTTAGGAGTTTTATTTTTGGTTGAATTAATGCGATATATGCAATATATGCTCCTCTCGGTGGCAGGTTATCGCAATGCCTTATTACCTACGTCCTTTATATTCCTTTTCGTACGCTTTGTCAAATGTACAATGATAGCTATAGTGTGCTCGACACAGCTACGGATTTCTATAGTATTATTAAAAATTGTAACTTATATCACTGATTGTGAAGCTGTTTTCCTTTTTCAATCTATATTACTTGCATAAATACGTAGCCAGTGCTTTGACATGTACGCAAGTGTATGTTATATCTTACTTTTGCTCGCCTATAATATGATGATTGGTTAGTAACGTTTACCTTTACTGGTTACGTTTAGCTTTTACATTATTATTATAAGTTCGCTATTGTTATCTTTATTGTTATGTAATTATAATCGTTATTCTTTATATACATAAGTAAATAAAAAAGTTGAGAACATATTAAATCTATTTCAAGCCTAAGAAACAGTAGTTTCTTTTTTTTATTACAATTTTACAGATTACTACAGAAATAACTGTCGTGAACCATCCATTTCGCAGGAATCTTGCGGTCGCGCTCATAGTACGTTTATTGCGTATCAGTAAAAATCCGAATTAAGTACAAATTGAAGTCAGCTTTTATAGTAAAAATTCTGCATTTCTAAAACTTTTCTCAGCTCCAAGCCTTTAAAATAAATTTAAATCAGGCAGTAAAGGCTGCAATAGCCAATTCGTACTCTAACAAGTTTTCACCAACTACTAAAAATATCTCATTCAGGTGCTTGCGTGGTCATATTGAAGCATATTGAGCTTTAGTTTCACCGGTTCTTAATAATTTATAATTTATATTTAAATTCATTGTCTCGTTTCTTCAAAATAAAGCGACAAATCGAAAGTTTCGGCAATAAAATTCGGCTGCCATTATTATTGTTTGATCATTAAAAGCTCCTATGTAGTTATCCCTTTGAACTGTGAATGCTTATTCTAACGATTAGTTTTTTTTTTTTGCATTGATAAAATTTTACTCTTCAATCGAACCGAAACATGGTTCATGAGAGAGCAATTTAAGTTTTGAGAACACACACAGAAAACGCGTCTACATCCGTTAAGCGTTTTGATCATTAGTTAGCTTCAATTAAACTCTCTCTCTAAATCTCGAGAACGCAATGTTTTTAGTCAATTTGCATATGTGCACCCTATTACGCAATCTCTTTTTTTGCCCTTTTCCTTTTTTGTCACGTTTCCAAAAATTTTCGCTGGAAACTGTAAGCAAAATAACGGGCAATTTAATTTGCTTATATGCTAATCAAAATGTCACAGATAAGAAGAAAAGATGAAAAGAAAAAACAGAAGAAAAAATCACAACGATTTTCTAACTTCACTTCATGATAATCAATTAAGAAAATATATGACGATATTCATCTTTCCGTCTAAATGCTTTCAATTTCGAAGGGTAAAAAGATCGAGAACAAGCTCACAAACGAATGCGATAAAATCAGCTTAGAATATCACCTTAAAATAGCTAATGTGTATTCTCTGAGGGACGAATCCTTTATCCGGCGATTTTTCAATGCTGGATATGAAAATC